GAGACAGGGCAGAACTCAGGAGAGCCTTCAGATTTGCAGAAGTTACGGGAAATCACCGTATGTACAAGGATTCCCCCATCTCCAACCCCCAAATAGCTCACTGACTGACTTGGAAAAGGAAATAACAGGAAGGGTGGGATGGAATGAAATGCAGGATGCCAAACAGAAAGACTCTGCACTGCAACATTTTGTTATTTATACAAATCACCATTGCCAATTTTATACATGAGAGTCACTATGCAGACTTTCATGTGAAAAAGTGATATAGAACTTGTCACGTTCCCACCTGTCCCTTGGTTGTTTTGCCAAACACAGGGCACAAGCTACGTATTGTGTCGCTGCCATCAGTTGATTACATCAACATTGTTTATTATTAATCACAGAGGTCCAGGCAATGTGTCATTTTCAAAAGAACTAAAAAGCTGTTTATTATTATAGGTGATTAAAGTACAATCAATGTTGTTAACTCTTAACAGAACATCCTACTTCATCCACTCTCAACCGCCAACCCTCTCTCTCTACTCCCAAATCACCAATCCTCTAATCTCCAATCTCCCAACTCTCCACTCAAACTCTCTCCTCCCCCTGCAGAGACTCTTATATCTTATGACTCCGCCTCTCCAGCACTCTCACTGGTCCATGGAGATAGCACATTAATATTCATGACCTGGGCAGATGCCACAGAACCATTACGGGAAAACAAACTGAATTATATGAAGCATATCAACTGAAAATGTGGTCACTGACACTACAGAATTACTCCTGGCCCATTCACAACACTGTTTGAGAAATCTGTAGGTCCAGCATGATGGTGGTGCACATTGTCTCATTCCACTTCTGTAACAGAAATGTTACATATTGTGTTTATGAATTAAAATTTCCCCAAATGAAAACTGATAATCACATACCTCAACAGTGGGCGATGACCGATTCTTATCATGGTGGACATACTCTTGTATTGTGTGGACCTGCTGCATTAGGAGGTCACAGTAGAGACGAAGCTCAGACATTTTGGTTTTCAAAGATTCATTGGTTTCATTAATCTCTGCAAGAATATCAAAACACAGATACTTCACTTTCCAGTTTTAGGAGCTCCTTCAGGCAGCTTTACATTTAAATGTTCACTTTTGAATGCCTTTAAATGAAAAGGCTCAGTGCTGAACACTGAATCTATACCCTGAGAACTACAGCACTTCTCTTGCCATCAGCTTCCAGCTTTAGTTCTGCTTTCCTGGATGCCTACACGTGAAACAAACACAGCTTTTCACATCTTCTCTACTGATTTCCCTTCATAACTGACCCAAGTTATGAAACAAGAAGTTCCAATGACTTCCCCTCATGCACTGACGGCATGCGCCAAGAGGCTCCAAAAGCCACTGCAGAGACTGGCCACATCTTCAGCATCCCCGCTGAGCAGCCTGGTGAGAACTGAAACATACGAGTATGCACAAAGGGCTTATCGATGTGAGGGCAAACTCTGAATGGTTTAGAATACCCCCTCACATGGAGGGACTCCACATGTGCACATCACATGAAATGTACATGATGTACATAACATCCTCATGTAGACAGTGCATGTATTAGAAGAAGGAACCCAAGACTCTGCTGTCAGCTGAATGACGTCTGGAAAATCTAAAGGAAGCACACCCTCTGCCTTCTGCCATTAGGGCCACTGGGGCAACGCTCCCCCACCTCCCCTTGACAGCATGACGCCAAAAGGAAGACCACCTTAGCCCTAATCCTTAGCCACAGGAGAAGCAGCTGCTGTAGCGCTGGTATTCCTCTTCCCATCCCTGTTTCCCTTTCTATGGCATTGTGAACCTCAGAAACAGACAACATTACCTCTTACTATCCACAGACTGCTTAGAAAGTTATAGGCACTTTCAATGTTAAATAACACCAACCACAGCTGGAATGGGCAGCAAAGCACCTCAAGTTTGTTTTCAGGAAATCAGGGAAAGGGGATATGAATCATCATGTTTTCAATCAAGAAAAATAAGCATTTGATAGAAATGTTGAATAACAACGGCAACACTTTGGAACCATGCTCTGTCATGGGACACATTCTGTATTTTCTCCTATTTTGCACAACGCGGTCGAGTACCTTTCTCTTTTTTTGTTCTGGTATCCGTCAAGCAGGCCTTCGAGCTCCCAAGGGCTACTAGCCATCTCTGTCGTTCAGCTGCATTAACAGCTTTCATGTAGAAATGCTGCTCTCCTGGAATTATTAACTCCATTCTTGTGCTGTCTGTTGGGTGGACTTACAAAAGGGAGGGGGGGAAGGAAAAGAGGTAAATGTACAGACTTTCAAAGACTGTCAAGGATAACAAACACAGTTTTCCCACTATACTTCTTCAAGTTTTTCATGGTTTTACTGATGAAGTGTTTATGCAAGCTAGAACCTTGCCACTTGCCTTGTCCCTTCAAATAATCAGAAACTGGCCCCCTTTAGAGCAGTGGGTCTCAAGCTTTCATATGATTTGTTCCACCTATCATGCCAACATCCATGCTTCTGAGTGAAGGAAAGATGCAGCAGGGGCAACAATGCTTGTGAGTTTAGCAGCCCTACAGAACCAAGAGGGCAGGTTCTGTAACTGGTAACATTTGAGTTAACAGATCCGAGAACAACCTCCAAAGGAATAAAGGCAGAACAGACAGGTAAGAAATAAATACTGTATAAGAGAATACCGCCTGGATGTACAATGGGCACTCTGAGAATTATGGACATTCAAAACTGGACTGGCAATAGATCAGGGAACCTTCCTTGAAGCTGCTATACAGAGACCTCCCTTTGTTAATAGCAACCTAGCACTTCTGGTACTGAACAGGTTATAGGGAATAGGTTCCGCCCCTTATATACGGAAGACCTGTTTTCACAACTTTTAAGAGAAGCTGGTTTTCAACAGCATTTCAAATGCAACATAGAAGGGGAATTAATTTCCCTCAGAATTAATTACAATGAATGAATGAATTAGCATTATTTATTTATTATGGATGAATCCTAGAGTCAGTTCCCAACCACTGAGGAGGGCAACAAAACTGTCTCTAGCAGCATATTTTCAGGTTTTAAAAGATCAACAAATTATTTTTCATTTAATTGGCTGGTGTTGCATTCTTTTTTTCTTTTTACTGGAGAGAGACACTTGTACGGCTTTCCATTTTGTGTGTCAGAATAACTTGGCTGGCTTTGAGCTCTATGTACACCTTGACCTGAGCAACATGCATAATTTCCCCCCTTTTTCATACTTTGGTTGAAATCCTATTGCTTAGTGTAGTAAAGTGCTCTAGAGTAGGCCCACTGAATCCATAGGGATTTGGTGAGTCAGCTCCAAAGTTCCACTGATTCAATGGGTCTACTTGTAGTGCTATTTATTATTAAGCAATAGGATTTTGGCTCTTAAGTATAAATTTAAGATCTACCTCTCCCTTTGCTCTTTCAGTGACATACATTTCACAACATAGTATGAACCAAGCCAACCAATAAAGCCTCCAGGACCACTCAAGCCTATGAGACACACCATAATTCAGACTACAGTGGAGGGCAGATTTTTCCCTCACCACGGGTCTTACCTTTGATTTCACACACTGCCATCTTTATACTTCCTTTGCTGCCTTTACAAACATCATCTTGTGAATCATAGTAAGACAATATCCCATTATCTAGAACAAACCAGCGAGGCTGCCAACCTAAGAAAACAGGAGAAAGCAACACTGATTAGTTTCATTGCCGATGTCACACAAAAAGCAGCAACAAGACTTCGTTGGGAACTTTCAGCAGAAAGGAAGAGTTACACCTATTAAAAGACAAACTTATTATAGTTTCATTTATATGCCACATGTCTCCCAACAAGGGACCCAAAGTGGCTCACAACATTAAAATTGTCACACAATTTAAAAACACAGTAAGTTAAATATTAAAAGATAAATTAAACAATATATGATTTAAAAATTAACTTAAAAGATTAAAACATGAAAACATAAAAAAAAGATTCATTTGCTGAAATGAGGTTCAGAGCTTCAGTTGCAGTTGTTAAAAGTCTGCCTGAAGAGATGAATCTTTAGGTTTTTTCGGAAGGATAACAGGGAAGGGGCCATCCTGATCTCCCAAGGGAGAGTGGTCCATAGCCTGGGAACTGCCACGGAGAAGGCCCTCTCCCGTGTCCCCATCAGCTGTGCTTGTGCTGGCAATGGGACCGAGAGGAGGGTCTCCTCTGCTGATCTTAATCGCCAAGAAGGCGCATACAGTATAGGGAGATACGGTCCTTCAGGTAGCCTGGACCCAAGCTGTATAGGGCTGTATAGGTAATGACCAGCACTTTGTACTGGAATGGAAAAGGACTGGTAGTGAGTGCAGTTCTTGTAACAGGTGCGTTACATGCTCCCTGCAGCTGGACCCAGTCAGTAGTCTGGCTGCAGAGTTTTGCACCAACTGAAGTTTCTCAACCGTGTTCAAAGGCAGCCCCACACAGAGCGCGTTACAGCAATCCAATTGGGATATAGCTAAAGCATGTGTCGCTATAGCCAAATCCGACATCTCAAGGAATGGGCGCAGCTGGCACACCAGCTTTAGCTGTACAAATGCACTCCTGACCACTACTGAGACCTGGGCATCCACGCTTAGGGATGATTCCAGGAGGACACCCAGGCTGCAGAGCTGAGTTTTCAGGGGAAGCATAACCCCATCCAGCACAGGTAATATCCCTATTCCCTCATCTGCCTTCTGACTAACCAGGTGCACCTCTGTCTTGTCTGGATTAAGTTTCAGTTTGTTTGCCCTCATCCAGCCCATTACTGATGCCAAGCACTGGTTTAGAGTCAAGACAGCTTCCCTGGAATTAGGTGGAAAGGCACATCCCTTTGGCATTAAGAATAGCAATTTACATTTTACAAACCTCAGTTCTTCCAGACTCTCTGCCAACTCCCTCAGCTCCATTTTAATTTTAAAAGCACAGAAAAAAAATAGATGTCTAAGCAACTTGCACTTTTTTGTTACTAAGATATTGGCTGAAATCTTGCTGCCATAGATTAATGCCTTGTAAGGTGGATGATGTAATCATCGAGGATTTTTCAGAAATTAAATATTTCTAACTTCTGTTCTGAAACTCAAAGAGCTCCCATATAATTCATTTCATCATCAAGAACACATGGGGACCACAGGACAGGACGGAGAAGACTTTGATTAGACAAAATCACCCTCCCTTTGACCAGTGATTGTGATTTTCAGTACTTCTAGATTCCCCCACTTCTGCTGTAGTCCCTGCAGTTCCCAACCACCTGTAGTTCATGGCCTCATTTCTTCCAGACAAAAAAACAATTTCTCCATCCAAATGCTGAGAATTGCAAGTGATTACTTCAGATCTAAAGTTGAATGCATCCGTTGGGAGCTTGACTCCTTGTTGATACTAGTAAATCTGATGGAGATGGTCAATGCATCATCTCGTCAGGTTAAACTAGCTAAGTCTCAGCTAGTCTGAGGATGTGGACAAGGAAGTTGCACAAAGTCACTACCTCCTCTCTAGATTCTTGCTCATCGTGGCTCTTAAAGTCAGGAAAGGAAATGACCATGGAATGGGCTACTCACATCATTAGAAAGTCATTTACCTTCCCATCTAAAGGAAACCATTTTAAGGTCCTTTCCAAAGAAAGCCTATTCAGCAAAGGACTGTCTTAATGATTATAGACCTATTGCCAACATTCCATTCTTGGGGAAGTTGACTGAGAGGGTGGTGGGTGACCAGTTGCAGGAGTTCTTGGAGGAAACAGATAGTCTAGATCCATCTCAATTTGAGTGGATTGTACCATGGGACTTAAACAGTACTGGTTGCCCTGCAAGACAATCTCCTGGGTGGAGTGTACCTATTGGTTCTCCTGGATCTTTCTGTCGCCTCTGATATCATCAACCATGGCATACTTCTGGGATGGCTATCAAGTGTGGGACCTTGGGACTCTGCCCTTCGGTAGTTCCAGTCCTCCCTCAAGGGCTGCTCCTGATGATACAGCTTGGGGAGGCACTGTCTACTCCTTGAGACCTCCATTACAGGGTCTGACAGGGATTGGACGTCTCCGCAATGTTTTTTAATATTCATATGGAGCCACTGGGAGAAGTTATATAAAGATTTAAAATTCGTTGTCATCAATATGCAGATGGCACACAGCTCTGTCTCTCTTTATCTTCACCTGCAGATGATGCCCTGCAGGCTTTTGAGCACTGCCTAGTGTCGATAAGGGACTGGACAAGGGCCAACAAACTGAAACCACAACAACAAGGATTCTACTGTTGGGAAGATCACTGGGCTGGTGAGAGCAGTGCTTCCCAACCATGGGTCCCCATATGTTCTTGGATTGATTACCACTATGGTATTGTTTCTTTCCTAAGCACCACCTATATGTACACTTTTTACAGAATGTGAAGACATGCCCCTGACCCAAGGGGCATACAGTCTAAAAGCAGACACCAAAGATAGAGACAGCAGAAAGAATGAGCAGGGGAGCTAAGCATAAATAAGGGTGAAGTCTGTTGACTGTTTCCTTTTGGACAATAGAAAATGTGCCTTCATTGCACCAACTTTACTATAACCACATGCAATGTCTGAATCTCTAGATATATCTACATAAAAATAATATCATATTATACTGGTACAGTAAAATCAAGCAAATAATTTCATTTATTTTTCAAATACACTGTTGTTGTTCTTTAGTCATTAAGTCATGTCCAACTCTTTGTGACCCCATGGACTAGAGCACGCAAGGCCCTCCTGTCTTCTTCAAAGACATTAGATAACATTATATTGGGAACCACATAAAAGTGAGAACAACAATCAGATCTACAGAAGTTGCACTACACCATTCAACTGTTTTTCAAAAGCTTCCTTTTTCTTTTTATTGTTGCTAAAAAGGAACTTTGAGCCCTTTTCATTTTTTATTTTGCTGGCAAATGTACCTGCCATTACCTTTATGTGCACACTTGTTTACTCCACTGGGTTTAAATTTAAAAGCAAAGCAGTCGTGTTTGCCACAAACACAGACCGGTTATATATATTTGCAAAGCCCATATAAACTGAGCGAGGCAGTGCTCTTAAAATGCAGCTACTGAGAGGTAATAAAAGGAGATAAACTGAGTTCCCAACAGCTGGTTATCATATTTAAAAGCCTTCTCTGGAGCCACTCCCAGGCTCTGGAATTCTCTGGCAAGGGAGATCAGGATGGCTCTCTCCATCACTTCGTTCTACAGGCAAGGAAACAGAATTTTCAACAAGTAAACCTTTGGTGTTTAAACTGAGCTGAAGTCAAAGGGGCTGTCAACTTGTGCAAAAATACTGTACTTTTCTTTAAAAAGGTATTTAAAATGCTTTCAGTATCTGATATTTTAACCACTGGTTCTTAACCTTGGGTTACTCAGGAGTTTTGGACTGCAACTCCCAGAAGCCTTCACCACCAGCTGTCCTGACTGGGGTTTCTGGGAGTTGCAGTTCAAAAGCATCCGAGTAACAAAGGTTAAGAACCACTGTTTTAAACAACCCACTTACATTTTTTCTTATGTAACAGAAATAAAACAAAACCAAAATTACTGTGGTACCTTAGTCTTTAAAATGCCACAGTACTTACGTTTTCATTTCTGTTACTCTTTGCTTCTTTTAATATGTCACGACACTGGTTCATCTTTATTTTAGTGCAACTTTTCGTGCTTTACGACCTGCTTCTCAGATGTGTGCTATGTTCATACCTTAAATGAGGGTCTACCTTGCAGGCAAAGAGAGGTGAATGGTTACTTCCCATCTTACCTCTCCATGCCCAAGGCCACCAACAATTTTCTCCCAGCTCATCCCTGATACCAAAAACCAACTGGCTTAGGATGGCAGGGCAAGAAGGTGTACTCCACATGGCAGGAAAAGGAAGGAAGAACACTCAGTACCGTATTCAACGGTATGCACATTTTGTTGTATATCCAAACACACCTACATAGCCAAACACTGCTTTAAATACAAACAAGGCAGAGGTATAAACAAAGTCTCATATCCTAATATATCTCGTTTGACCCTTCTTTCCAAACAACAGATACATTTTCTCTTTCGGTTACCTTCTCACATATTTGTTTGTCCAAACAGGGCACATCTCTGCACCAGCAGCTAGACGTTGTGACCTTCCTACTCTCCCTACAGACCTACCAAATCCGTGGAAGTCTCAAAAGGAACACATTCAAAGAAGCCTTTGGTAAAACAAAAATCACAACATGAAGAAACTCCTGGCAAGCAACATGATAGTAATAACACAGCCAATTCAAATGTGTGCTCAAAGACTTATCAGCCGGGTCACCAGCAGAGATAAAGAAGTCAAAGCCTGGCTGATTTAATCACTTTGAGCCAATTTTTAATGACATTTTACTCTCCCAAAAGCAACATAGAATTCTAGTTTATTTCTCCTCCAGGTTACCTGGGAAAGAGAAGTAAGGGCACAAACATGGTATTTTGTATATGCTCCCTGTTGCTTATGCATCTAATGTTAAACTACATTCAATGTTTTCATGTAGACGTAGCCACACAGTTCCCAGCTGGGCCCTAAGCATCTCCAGTTATGGGCAGCAGGACTGCAGAAGTTCTCTGCTGAAAGATCACTACTACCAGTGACTATAAGATAGTACCAGTTTTCAGAGACAACTGGTCTGACCAGGAGGAGGCTGTTTCTTACACACGCTTGGCCCAGCAGACTTAAGAGCATTAGTGTTAGTGCACTATATCAATGATTGAAAAGCAACTAAAAAGGGGCAAAATAAAAGGCACTGGCACTCAAGATGTTAAAAGCTTTTTAAAAGGCAAAGAAGGATGATTGCAGTTGATATTACAAAGATCAATCTAGGGCACCAAATGCCAAGTTGTTTCAAGCAAATCCCATCTTCCTGGGTGCATCTCAGACACACACATTGTCCTCTGTTTGGGGATGAGACAAACAGGATCTTCACCTTTGGCAAAAAATGAGATACTGCTTTTGCATTACTCATCTTGGAACAGCACAAACTTTCTATGCTGTGCATATCCATGTGCCCCTCCACAGGGATATAGACTCAGCACCATTGTGGGCCCTATCCACTGGATACTTCTGAATGACAGACAGTTATGGGTCTCAATCATTTTCCACCTTGAAAACAAAAAGCAGACTACCATCAGGAAAACCTGTGGAAAGAAGACATTATGTGGAGGATGTGAGCAGGCAAAAGGGTGGAGGGGCCATAGAATAGTACCAAATAGATCAAACGCTTGAGTGTGCCTCAACCCAGTGTAGTGAATGGGTAGGATTGGGACATCCAAGTTGAAATCCCTGTGAAGCCATTGGAGTCACCAGGTGACCTTGGGGCAGGCATTAACTCTCCGCAGGTCCTACCTCACAGAACCATTGTCCATTAAAAAAAAGAGAGACCACTATAATGTATTGCCTTGAGGCTACTGAAGGATAGGTGGGATAGAGAGGTAAGGCAGACATAACAAAATCAAATAAGCCTGACTTTCCCTCCTCAAACCCATTGCCTTCTTGAGGTCCTGGGCCACAGCTAAGAACGTCCCTGGCTGGCCCGCCTTGATCATCCTGTGTGGGATGCTTAGCTGTGGCTCCAACTGGGCCCCCAGCAACCCCAGAGGGAGGCTGCTGGGGGACATCCGTTTGTCCTTATTTCCTCCCAGAGCTTCTTGAGAGCATCCCTTCCGACTCCCTGCTGCCAGGAGGCACCTCTCCCTCCCCAGGAGCCTCCTCCCTCACGCCGCTTCCCTGGGTAGGCGGCGCCGTTTCGGAAACGGCGGGGCCTCGGCGCCGGCCTGCGGGCCCGCTGCTTACCTGTGATGTAGATACTCCACTTGTACAGCACGCCTTCCATCCTTCAGAGCCGCGGGGAGAGGAGCAGCAGCATCCTCAGCATCCTGCGCTGCTGCTTCTGCTTCCTCTTCCCCCTCCTCCTCCTCCTTCTGGGCCCGGGAAAGAGCGAGCAGGCCGGCCGGCCTCCCCGCCGCCGC